GGGGGGGAAGAGAGGGAGAGGAATGAGAGGAGGACTTTTGGGATGTATGTGATTTATTTTTGTTCAAATTTGTTACTTTTGGGATTGTTCAAATATGTTAATTTTGTGGATCGATTATTGTTTGTATATGTTATTTTCGTGAGTATTGTTTGATTCATGGCTGAATTTTATGAATATTATTGATATTCAGTATATATGTGATTTCCGTGTGTATGGTTTGATTCATGTATATTGATGTGAATGAGGCGAATCATTTCATGTATATTGTTGTGAAATAGTTGGGCATGTTTGATTCATATATATTTCGTCATTTATAAAAAAACGTCGTGTATATAAAAAACATGCACAGCTGGCTGTGCATGTTTTTTAAAACCTGCAGCTCCACGGGAGTTGAAGTCCCATGGAGTTGCAGGCGGACTTTCCAATGCCAACTGAAACATCAAGACCCGTGAAGTTTCGTGAAGTTTTTCCCTAAAATCGACCCAATTTCAGCCAGTTAGCTGAAACTGGGTCGATTTGGCAATTAAAGTGGATACGGATCGTTTTTTGCATAAATGGGTCGAAATTGAAAATTTGTCCTAATAGAAATAATCAGAGCTAATGGTGACTTACAAACATTCGATTGATGAGGTTGCGTTCTAAAAGTTGTGGAGATATTGTATACTTCACGTCTCTTTAGTGTTAACTAGTGCTTGTTCTTTTTTTTCCTTTTTTCACAATGAGTTACGCATGCATATATTTAATTTATAAATTAGTGATGACTTGGCTCATGGGGGGAGATATTAGAGGAGATATTTGTCTGTAATGGTGGAGTAAACGTCAGATATCACCACCACAAAAGAGAAGCTCATGTTCCATTGATTTCTAGCAAGGAGACATGTTGGCCCAAAGTAGCACCAAGCTCTTTCATTGAGTGCCCACGTTGACTTAGGCCTAATCCTGTGATTTAGATTGTTAAATCTAGTACAAGCAAGAACAATACAGATTTTAATGACGAGTGTTATTTTGTTTGTTGTTTATAAGGAAGGAGCAAAGTGGATTTTAACGCTGAGGCGTTTGTTCGACGAACAAGTGTTTGCTTGATGTTTGGTTCTGATTTATTAATACTTGCACTTTTAACTGTAGTAGTTCTTTCTTTTTGCAGTAGATTTTTTTTGGCTCTTTTGGAGTGATGTGAACTTTAAAAGCAAACTTCATTCACCACGAATGCTTATGTCGCTTATGTTGCTCCCATATAGTTCATGTAGAGTGATAAGCGCAACGAATGCTTTGAGTTGTAGTTTTGAGAATGGGAAGATTAATACTCGCCTTTTTGCCTGCACCACGGGCAAACTTAATGGCTATACTTAAACGTCCAAACAAGAAATTCTGAAAGGCCCGATATCAACTAAAAAGCCCAGTTTCTTAACTCTATGGCCCAAGACTCTATGGTTCACGTTTAACCCACGCTATGTGGTAACATAATACCTCATGCTTGTTAAAGGGTTCCAACTTCCAAGCCCGCAGAAGAACGCCCCTTAAAAATAGGGTTATCACACGAAAATTATCTTCTAATTTTAATTTATATATAAACCATCTTTAAAGTAGTTTTTCTTTTCTTTTTTGCAATCAACCACCTCCTAATCAAATTGTTACTAAAAACCCAAAAATAAGCATAAAAATTCAATGCACATGAGTTACATCCTATCAATACCTAAACACAAAATGAGTCATGGGCGTTGAATGTGAGTACTTAAGGATAATTTTGAAAAAACTGATTAAAACACGGCTGATTGCTGCAATAAAAGCCCCCTTTAAAAGTAGTTTTATGTATAAAATGAAATTGAACTCTTGCATGCTTACCCTATTTTTACGGTGGATTCTAAGGAAAAAATACCATATAAGTTTTAACCCTTAAAATCAGCATAAAAAAATCACTTTAAAATGACATCACACAAATATTATTGGTAATCCCAGACCAAATCCCTGTGTCAAAAGCCAGCAATTTATCCTAATTTACGTTAATATCCGAACATAACATTAATCAACATTCGAATCATTAGACATCAAACCTTTTCTGCTTTCATGACAAGCTGTATCCAAAATTCCCAAATAACCAAACATCAAAGCTTTATCAGCTACCAAGTGCTGCTATTCGAAGGGAAGCAATTCTAGACGTATCATTCGTTTGTTCGCATTCTTGGAGGATATAAAAGCTATCGTCTCACTGACTTTTGTTCGTTATGCCAAGAAACAACCTCTCTATAAGACAGGTCACCACCAAATATATCGAGAGCGCTTCCTACTGTGACATCCACATTACCCTTGCCCGCCTTCTTTATCCTCTCCATATCAGCCATTGAATTCACGCCACCAGCATAAGTTACTGGTATCTGAGAACACAAATAATAATGCTTCAGAACTCGATGGGGATTATGGAAGAGATTTGATTTAGCGACCACAGCAAGAAAGTTTTGTCTATGAATTGAAGTCAAAAATCAATGGGGATTATAGATGAGATTTGATCAGTGCCTGCGGCAAGAAAGATTTCCTTGGCGTTCATCTGCTTTATTGAATTGAAGTTACAGATAACAAAGGAACAGCATTACATGTGTTTTTTTATTTCTTCCAAATAATTGAGAATTTCATCAGAACATAAAAGAAAATAGTCCACTTTATCTTTTGCCATATATTTCTTTTACTAAGGTACTTTCTGTGCAAGCAGAGAGTTGCCATCAACTGAATTTACGAGTGAAAAAAACCGTTTTCTCTTTTATTATTTAAAAAAACTTTTCTTTTTCTTTTTCTTTTTTTTTTTGGGGTTAGGACAAAACCAGTAAGAACAAGATGCAGCGAGAACAAGATGACACATACAGGTGAGTAGCGACCAAGCAAAGTCACAAGTGTCTCGTCAATTCCTAGCCTGTCAAAGAAAACAACAAATTGAAAGACAAATCAGAAAACAAGAAAGAGAGCACAATGTTAGCAGTCCAACAAAGTTATCATGGCTTAGAACGTGAAAGGAGAAACATCGATCATCAGTTGGATGGTCAGCATTAGCTAACATGATTTCTCTGATTAACAAAATAAAAAAATAAGAAAGTACAAACGAAATGTAATTTTAGTAAAGATGTAAAAAAGAATGAGCGTAATATACATATTGATTGCCAAGAAGTACCTAAAACTAATAAATTTTGTTATTTAGAATCAATTATTCAGAAGATGATGCAATTGAGGATGATGCAATTGAGGATAATGCAATCCATCAAATCAAATCAGGAAGTTTAAGTAGAGGAGTTGCTTTGGGAGACTTACAGTGAACGTGGAATAGTAAAATTGACGGGAAAGTTCTATAATAATAATTATAAGGCTCAAAATGCTTTATGGATAAGAATATTGGGCAATTAAAAAATATGCAGAAAATGAGTAGTAGAAATGAGAATATTATGGTGAACGAAATGATATAAACTAAAGGGGATATGAGAAGAAATGAAACATGTGCAGAAAATTAGTAGTAGAAATGAGACTATTATGGTGAACGAATTGATATAAATTAAGGATGTGATAGGAAATGAGGACATTCATAGTAAGTTAGAGGTTGCCTTATAGAGGAGGATAAAATGAGAGAATCGTTCACCGGAGGCCATTAAATGCACCAATTAGGCGCAATGATAAGATTATAATAAATAGAGAAAGGAGGACAAGAGGACACCTAAGAGAACTTGGATAAGAACTATTGAGAATGATATGATAATATGATAATGCTTAACTTATGGCCTTTAACAGATGTGAATGGAAAAGTATGATTCATATAGCAGACCCCAAAATTTTGAGATAAATGATTTGTTGTTATATTACTGTTGATACTCTAGTAGAAAGTAATTCTAGTTGTAGGGTATTCATGAAATTACTGCTGATACTCTAGTAGAAAGTAATTCCAGTTGTAGGGTATTCATGAAAGAGGTGGCATAGATTGGAGAAGGCCGAGTATGAAGAATATATATATATATAGTGATTTCAGGGTAATGAAAGGCTTGAAAATATACTGGTAATTTGGCTTCAAATAATAGAAAGAGGATCAGTATGGGGAAAAAAGCCACGGCTGGAGTATGTTGTTTTAGCTTGCAAAGAAATTCTCAATGGCAAAATGAAAGAATCATTAATTCTCATCCAAACAAAAGAGTGTTGCCCATTGACATGTAACAATAGTGTTGCGAGCTAGGCTACCGAGGAGCTTTATTTGGGATGTTGTATGCGTGTCGGGCATGTGTTAGACATGGATCACTGCTGACAAACCATGGGCACATGTGGTTCAAAGTAAAACTAAATTTACCCACTAATTATAGCCCTAAAGTAGTTTTTTTGGGTATATCAAGCTCAACACCAAAAGGTCTTTGAGCTAGAAAACCAAAATCATTACTTAAGATTTGAAAAATACTCGTTGTATCTCATGCGGTCAAAACTACACTTTTACTATTAAACCATAACTCTAGTTTTCAAGTTGATTCTTAATTGCTATAGATAGTAAAAGCAACATACAAATATTGTAGGTATTTTAATTCAATATTTAATCTAATGTAAAATATTATACATATGGGTAGAAGGATCCTAAGGTGCCACTTTAGATTCAATTAAGATGACACCTCTTAATACATGGATTAGACTATTCCAATGGATAATCCACTCTATTCATCATGATTTAAATAACTCAAAACATCTACAAAATAAAAATCATGATGTTCTGATACTTCTAGCACATATTTTTTATTGTCCATTGTCCCTTTATTGTAGTATCGTAAAACCGTTAATTTTACAATCATTTGATACATGATTAACTATAACCGAATATGTTTAACTTGTGTGTGCGCACGCGTGCATGCGTGTCTATGTCCTTGTATCCTACCTTTTACAAATTTGTTGTGTCTTGTGTCCATATGCATGTCCACACCCATACCAGTGCAACCTGGGTTGTAAGAAATGAGAGAATGAATATGTAGAGAAT